CTCTCTCTCTCTCTCTCTCTCTCTCTCTCTCTCTCTCTCTCTCTCTCAACCCCTCGCGCCCTTTTCCTCTCCGTATATTCCATTCGCCTCGAGAGATCGTGCAAACGGATGAGATTACCCCCACCCATCCATAGTTTACACATCCAGGAAAATAGATTACATTGTTGATTTGAAGGATATGACGATATCCTGGACGACGCGTTACCAACGGATTTGCAATAAAAATCGGAACGCTAACTCGACGATTGATCCTCAGCTTGCTGTATAAACGCTCCACTTAGACCTGTAACGCGGTAAATGGATAATTTATACTTTGCTGGAGAATCAGGGGGGAGAAGATATACTCAGAAATGCTGGGTTGAATGAAACCTATTGCATTTTGGAGATTCTCTGGCGAGGAATCCAAATTCAAATTATACTGGTATTAGGATTTTGAAAAAAGTTGAACATGCTAGAAGCAGGATTCGGAGATCAACAAACCTTTGATGAGCGGAAGAAATCATTTGGATATGCAAGAAAGGAGAGGCCTTTGATTATTTTTGTTCAGATTAAAACAAAATAAATTATTTACTGAATTGAAGGGATTCACCTACACTACTTAACACTAAAACTACCAACATGAAACTATTACTTCTTTTGCACACTACTACATTATTGAAGATAGAGAGTGGAAGGGCGAATCAATTAGTATAAACCTACTTCCCTATTGCAATAATTGTCGTCAGAAATTCCAGTAAACTCTTCCTCAATAATCCACTAATTTTAGGAAGAAGTCATGGTTGGAAGATCATTTTACTCAGCTTTGTAGTTCTAGAGTTGTCTGAATACCCCTGAACTTTGTTTTTCCAACCCCTGGCCATTCAAGTCAGGGATGATCGTAACAACTAGCTTTCTCTTCGTTATTCATCGACGGCAACGAAAGACTCCGTTTAATTCTAGTCTCTTGCAGTTTAAACACGTTTATTCTTGGGTATTTCCTTCCCCCTTTCCAAGACACAAACAATACCACGGTATTTTTGTATTCACAGCGAGAATCAACGTGGAGGTGGCTACTTGCTCAACTATGATTCCTTAAGGGCTGACCTTGGGTACTAGATCGATCATAGTTTAAAAGAATCATAGTTCCTCCCACCTATACAAACTGACAGTATGGTAAATTTTTTACGAGGTGATGTCCTAATGTTGTTTATTACAGCTTCATCTGTAAGAAAATCCGAAAAATAAAGTTCTTACACCAAAGAGTTGAACGAAAACTTAAAGTATATTATATTATTATACTAATTAAACCTGGCTGGTTTGCCAAGCCTAAGGTCTCCTGGCTCTGGACCTAGGAGGTTGTAGGCCTTATCAGTTTCAGATACTCCAAACGCCTCCTGTACAATTAAATTGTTATTAAAAAATGTCGAGTTCCTTTCATAACTAGTGATCTTCGCGATACGTGCACTTATACACACTATAATATCAATACCTTTTGTATAAATGATACATTCCCAGTATTCCTCACAACCCTGTCTTGCCCCTTATTCCCCTACCACGTTTTTCTTTTATTCTTTACTGAGCGTCCAATCTTGTTTGTGTTTCAGTAAGCAGGCTGTATTCGATGGAAAGAAAGCCATTAGAGGAGGCATTCCATTTGTCTTTCGTAAGTATAAGCACAACATGATGGTAATTTATTAGAATAAGTACTGTAACTACTGAAGAAAATGGCTAGGGGTATTCACACAGATAAGAGTTTTTAATATATTACCAGGATTTTGAAAGTACTGATAACCGTTATTAAAAAGAAATTATTATGCGTAAAATAGTAATTACTGTTTACTCTGATTTAATTCAGCCCAATTTGGAGCATGGACATTTGGACCACCCCATGGATTCGCGAGAATTATTCGTTGGAACGTGGAGAAGTCACCCGAACGATTACCCAGCGGCGACGTCGAGGCGATATTCTCTATAATGGACAGCGAATTCACCCGTTCAATGTGGAATTATCCATTTAGGTTAACGTACAGACTAATCCTTCGAGAAAAGGAGCTACATTTTAATATCGGCGTGTACAATCCCAGTAAAGACCACACGTTTAGCTTTAATTTGCTGTTACATACATACTTCAAAGTACCAGACGTTAGGAGATGTCAAATCACGGGTCTTCACGGATGCACCTTTATCGACAAGGTACAGGATGGCATATTCCATAACAGGGCTCCTAATGTAATTAGAGTATTAAGCTTGATGAAAGCGTAAAACATTAACAAAAAATGAACATACAATTCAATATACCATTAATACATAGTAGTGAAACATGTATCAATATTAATGAACATTCAATTAATTAATTTCTGTTAGCATTCAGTAAACGAAAACTTTGTTATTTTTACAGACGAGGGACAACCAAATCTTCCAAGAGGGTCGCGACGTAGTGACGGTGTGTGAGTGGACAGATAGAATTTACCAGAATACGCAACCAGAACATATTATCACTAACGTCGTGTCTGGTAGGAAAATGCGAGTTCAAAAGTACAATTTCCCTGACACTGTGGTCTGGAATCCTTGGCAGGAGAAGGCCCGCGACATACCCGACTTTGGCGATGACGAATTCCCTAACATGATATGCGTGGAAAGCGGACATGTCAGCAGCCCAGTCATACTACTCCCTGGAACAGCATTCGAAGCCAGTCAAATCTTGCAGGTAAATTACAAACTATCTATGTACCTATATCTATAAATAATCGTAGAAACTAGTCCAACGTGTAACACTGTGAGTTGTATCGATTAACGTGAAAACTATTTGGTGGAGAAGGTTCAAATTTCAATATATAGACGATGTATACCTTGTAGAATTACTATTGAAATACATTGGAAAATGTCGTCGCATCGACTAGTGCGCCGTAGTTCTTCAAGATTTAATTCCATATTCGTACACTTCAAAATAGCTCTAATACCAAGATAGTCCTTTCATTTTATTGACCTAATAGAGTCAGGTTGTGCATTACTGAGTTGAATTGTTATTACCTCTCTCATATTAGTATATGCATCCGTTAGTTAACATTAAAATGCATATCTATTACACATACAACTATATTATTGCAATTAATTGGAGACATTGAAGTATACAACTTGTAGAATTTTTCAGTTTCCCAGCAGATACGATTAAGTATTTATCTGTTGTGTCTTAGGTAATGTGAGTAGAGGGTGGACCGACTTCGCATGTAACGACCGGAAGTAATGTCAATCCACTGCATCCGGTGTCCTCTGCATCAGGTACCGTCTGGCGGACCGGTGCAGGGTGGCTGTATATGCCACCGCCCCCACCGCCACCGCCACCAACATCCTCTACACATCAATCGCACCTCCACGCGCATTGTATTGCTCAGACTTGCACTATATGTTCCCTTAATCTTTAAATCGACATCTTTGAGATCAAATCAACAGAAAGCACTGATTTCGAGTTCAATCGTATTCAACTTTTTCTTTTGTAATTTCTTCTCTTGACAATTGTTTCAGTACTAAGATATTCCTTCTAATGAGATACAACCAAATGATAAGTATAATTCATATATGTTTAACGCGTTGAACGCCACGTCACATGTAGGAGTGATAGGATTTTTCTATAAGGAATTGAATAAATTAATTCTTAAAATAGGTGTCGCAGAAAATAAATCTGGATAAGATTCGTGTACTTTGACGAGGTTACGAAGATATATACCGTCATAAATATTAAATTATATAGTTTTCATTTGTATAGAAAGAAAAATTTTAGTCTTGTAGAAATTTTCATGAGTATTAATCTGGCAGTCAACGTGTTAATAACGAATTTGATCAGATACTATAACTTCTCGAAGCGATTGACAAAACATCGAAAAAACAGAAATTTTTTAGAGTATTATCACATCCAATGGATTTTAGAGAGTTTTAGAATGATCATTGTTAGACGGAACTGAATCTGAACAAAGTGCTGTTTTAGGAAGTACATTATGTCATAAAGAATTATTAGTTAAACTTGTTCTAAATTATTTATCATCGATAATAATAGAGCGTATGTATGTATATATCAACGTATACATATATGCATAAGATTTAGTGGGAATTACCATTTGTAATAACGTTACATTGCCCTCTATTCGATTTAATTGTATGTTTATTCAATGTCCACAGAAACGCGAAACACATCCCTATATTTATTTAGCTACTCGATATCAGCTGAAAGAACAAGATGTTCTTACGTAATTATTGTACATTTTAGACTTGTAATTCGAACGAAAAGTTGATAACAATCACGACATCTTTTTATTAATTCGAATGAAGAGCTTAGACGTTCATCTTCTAAAAAGCAACGAACAATCCTTTGAACGAAAAAAATTAGCGAATTTAATTTAAGAATAACACAATTTCTATTCATACATTAAATTCTCCTAACGAAAGTATTGTTTCGCTTAATTAAATATTTCTGAATAGTAATATTTGTTATATTTGATCATAGATGTTTACAGAGTGCACAAATAATTCAATAATACAATATACTGTTTGTTGTTGTAACATATGGTGCGAGATATCAACTCTGGGTATTTCATTTGTTAAAAAAGACTCCCAACATTTCCAACGAATTTTATATTGCAATATTTCACCGAATATTTTTTATATAATTGCTTTTCGACGTATTTGTTGATTTAATAGATTTCATAAACCTTACATTTTTGAAATACCATACATAGATATACAATGTTCCCTAACAGTACATTCAATTGTTTTATTTACCAATTTTGTTCTATTATCGATACTTGGAAATTTTATCTGTTATGTACTCATAAAGTATGACATAGTGTGCAATTTTAATGACGCGACTCTAAGTGTTTTAAAGCACGAACAGCAAATTTGAATTAATGACTCTTATTGCACAATTCACCTGCAAAATAATACAGATATGGTGCTAATGTTACAGATATAATATTGTAATAGTAGGAAGTTACAGTAGTTAAACGCAGTCAACATTCTTTATTATTGTTGTAGTTTTAGCAGCAGGAAAAAAATTCTATCAAGTTTTCAAGTACATTATATCCTCTATATTACCTTGCGCAAAAGGACGAAAACATTCAATAACAATATACAATCGAAATAGTTGTAAGCAAATATTTATACCGTATAATATTATGATACTAGTATAAAAAAAACCAATTTCATGTGTGTACGAACATTTGTAAAAATATTGTCATGTCGACGTACTATTTACTAATTAACTTTCTAGTAACGAAAAACAAGTGCAGGAAATATTTACACTTCGCCATTCAGTTTTTGATATCTGAATCGTAATTAAACATTATAATATACTGGTTTGAAGTGGCAATTTTTACATAAAATTCATCTAATAGAATTATATCCTGCATTATATGAATCAACATTCATTCACTAATGAATATTTGAATTTTTACTTCTTTTTATTACATCTTTATAGCAATATTACCACTGAATAAATAAAATTTTTCTCATAAAAATAAGTTCAAAAACGACTACTCTAATTGCTTTTAATTGTGTATAAGGTTATGTTCTGACTTATTTTTAATGTAAAAATTTTCTCAAATTCAGTGATAACGCATTTTCAAGAAGATGTAATAAAAAATGTACACAATCTTTATACAAAACTTAAATCTTGCGTACGAGTTGTACTACGAAATGCAATATAATTTACAGAATATTATATTCAATATACGGTAAATAACCTTGCATTTTTGAATAGCCACAAAAGAAAAATTTTGTTATTTCAAATCACAAAGTACCCAAGTAACAAAGCAATACATTCCCTAGGAAGAATTTTAGATTAAAATTAGCTTGATAGCTATTAATGTCATATATAGAAAATTTACTTCAGAATTGTAATTCTGAACCTAGGTTCTGCATTTCGTTATTATATTTTCTTTAATTTCTATTGATTTAGTGAAATTTTTAATCAAGGCTTTCAAATCCAAGGAATCCAATTAGCTGTTATTTAATGAAATACTAAACAAAGAATTATAGTTAATTAAGCCTTGAGTGAAAATTTTATATGAATTTATCTTTTCTATGTAGGTATTTGAATGATACACAAACTCTGAGTGGTTGTAATTCTCATCTATAAGTGTATACTTAGAGTTACAATTTTGAAATTGATTGAAATCTCAGCGTAAATTCAATTTGAATAAATATATAATTTACTACTTTGATAGGGATAAACTGGTGGTACTTTATAACAAAAAAAAAAGTTTGAACTGTTCAAATCTTCCAAAAATACGTAAATTGTGGATTTCTATGTTTCATAAGAAACATCGATCGTAAAAGTCTACAAACCAATATAAAAAAATAACACAAACGAGATAAACAAAAATTACGAAACTGTAGTAAATTTTAATTTTTTTTTAATCCGCTCAATATACGATTATTCGATATTTTTACATCACATTTTACATGTTTAGTTAAATTTTTACCTGTACTTCGATAAATTTTCCATTTTGGGGAGAAATGAATCGAACATTTCACTTATTCTGCACTACAATAACTGTCACTTAGGAATTAACTGTGATTCAATGATAGTTTGAATCAGTGAAGGAGGCGCATAGTCTGTCCAATTAAATATTTTTGTTAAAATACATTTACACGGAATATTTTCATCATAACATTCTTTAATTTTTATTCTTAAAAACATTAATACAATTTAGATATTCTGAAAATTTATATTATTCAGAAAGCTGTTTAATGTAAAAAAAATGATGTGTTAAGACGGATGTATTTGTATATTTCTCATTCTCGTAGTATCGATTATAATCTGCAAATATATACTTTTTTACTTGCAAAGTTTATTAGAAATATTTATTATATGCGAAGAAACGAAAACTTATTCACAAATGTAAGCATTTTTGTATCTCAATATCCACTTTGTTATAAGCGGAAATTGTCTAAGAAAATATTTGTTAGTGCATTCCATCGATGCATTTTCCGTTTCACTTGATACGATTATATCATGTGCAATATTTTAATTTTAGATCAAGGTGCATAGTATAATTAAATAAATGCTCAATGTACAATATTGTTCCTTACTTCTTAAAAATTTGAATATCTATAAATAATTAAGTGGAATTTTTCTTCTAAATTGTGGAGGATCACGCGACAGTCAATACTGTAGAGATTTTAAAAACGAACAGAAACCATTAATTAAAAGAATATACTAAATTTTGTTAATTGTCCACAAAATCAGATTGTGTTTGAAGTTTCCCAAATACTTAATACATCACTGCCTCCAAACATATTAGAAAACGAAAATAAAGTCCAAGAAAAGATAAAAATACAACTAATGGGAATGCTTTGACAAATTAGAAATAAGTCGAATTGTTTTTAATTGCAATGAGACTACTTTATAACAGTCTTAGTCTTCAGAGGCTAGATACTACAGATCTGTAGTTCGTCATATGACATGGTGTACTACTGTTTCTTTCCCATGTTAACAAAAGATTTATTCTTCAAATAAGTGACATATATGACTACAAAATTACACGTTTTTTACTCTCTTGATTTTGATATTTCAAACATTTGTAATTTGTAATAACGTTTCCAATTCATAATTAAATAATGTTAAGAATGTACTCTTTCTGGGAAAGTGCAATAAAATATGGGAAATAATTGTAAAACCCTTCTTTCAAGCAATATTCGATAGTGTCTGTCAAATTTTTAATTTTCGTCACGCATAGCAACCTATGTTTTAATACAAAATGTGTATGTATTGTACACACAAGTTACCAAACAAGAAATTTGACAAACTAGAAACGAATATATCGTGCTCTATGTGTATAAATCAAATTCGTTGTCCTGTTAATTTTCAGTTTAACTTATCTTGTCATTTTAGTAAGTACCAGCCTTCTTTTTTAAACTATTACAATGTCTCTTGAGGGTTCCCGGTATTTTCGCTCAAATGAATAGCCATCTAGCGGTGAACATACCGAACTATTTTTCGGAGTATAAGCGCGCCTCTATCGGGAAAACGCCCAAGTTTGTCGTCGAATAGTTCCTATTTGTACTGTTAGATGGCGCTATTAATAGCTTTTTACCAACCTATGGTATACGTTCATAATAATTACGAATTTATTTTATTACGTTTATAGTAATAAACTTGTAGTTATATCACAGGTATTGCAACAATAAAATTGACCTAGGAGAACGTTTTTTTTTCTATATCATTGTCGGTAAATACGCTATAGTGGCGCCATCTATCACGAAAATGGGAACTATTCACGACAAACTTGGGCGTTTTCCTGATAGAGGCGCTAGTTGTACTCCGAAAATAGTTCGGTATGTTCATCGCTAGATGACGTCACCAATTTTCAGCGCCAAATTTGAATTTCTATATATTTAATTAAATTAAAGTTCATTAGAAGCATTTGTAGATACTATTGAGTAGTTTAAGAGTCCTTTTTTTAAATAAATTAATACATTAATCAATTTATTTTTCACGAGCAGCCTGCCTCAGCTTCGCCTATGAGCAATTTTGTATCTTCTATCAAAAGTTTTTTTCTAACCGAATTCTTATAAGATCTCCTTATAGATAACATTAGTCGTTCTTTTTTCTTGGCGTCAATATGAAAAAATGTTGGATACTGCAAAGGACATACTTTATCCGAATCAGATATTTCAGCTAAATAAACAATTTATTTTGATACTGATTGTGAAAGAGAGAAAACCGCACAAAAATCCGTCGAGTGATTCTGTAGATTAGTTCAAACAACCAGAGAGATCGGAAACTTTATTTTATACTATATAGAGATGTATTTTCAAATTACAACTACAGGATAGAATTAGATATAGTGATTTTTCTTAATAAAAGGAATTGTTGCCAATTTTTAATTTCCAAGATATACAGTGACTCCCAGAAATATTCGGACACCAGTGTATGGTTAGTCGTAGTTTTAAAAAAAGCAATCGTCTTCGTTACTTTTTCCAATAATAAATCATTTATTAACATTATTAAAGATATATACATTAATCAAAAAATTTACATAAATTACATAATAACAATAAACAAACGAAAGAATACCGCATTTACACTATAGTGTAAACAATATATATAAATTTTAATAAATTTTAATAAATTTTAATATGTAAATTTTTGTATTAATTATAAATATATACTGTAGCTCTTAGAAATATTATCTCCATACCTCACCTAAACGACTGTAAACTTTATTGTTAGATTTACATATACAGCGGTGTACCTATTAACATATCAATCTGAAATAACATTATTCATAGTTTTCAATAAATCTATGTCATTATTTCGAAAACAGAGGAAATGCTTTGTTCAGTTTGGTTAGAATGTCGACAAAACGAAAATTCTGTAAATTATATTGTAACAAGTCTATATACAATTTTTTAATTAAGATAACATAGTCAAAAACATTAGAGGTTCGTTAGACTTTATAACATAACTTATAATATTTCGTACGTCGTCCTCGGCTACGCATGCGTGAAAAATACCGCCTAAAGAGTATAGGATTAGAGGTGCTGAAACTCATATACTATATTTTAACATTGGCTCTTGTAGGCCATTGTAGGCTGCTTCTCCTTTAGTCCCATCTAGTCTTCTATCTTATACTTGCTTATACTCTTTGATTCAAAACTGTTCAAAATTTTAAATTAGCAAACTAAAGAGTTGGATTTTATTCGAATAAAAATGCGGAGCAGTTCTGTAGGGCGCAGGTCATCCACGAATCCTGTGAGGATAAGTGTGGTTGAGAGGGAAGAGATAAATTTGATACGAATTGATACGAGAAAGACTCAAACTAGTAAACCTAAGATTTCTACTTCCTCGGCTGAGAGTTCTCATATACCCAGACTTCGAGCAGTATCATGTGACAGATTGAGTAACAGAACACCGGGTTTGAAGGAAACAGGTGAAATATTAACGCTTCGTTTAGTTTCATTTTTATAACATTTTACACAATGTATACAGAAGGTACCAATGGTATCTGAACTGACCTTTGTCATTATTGTAGGTAGAACTCCCCTTCGCCATGGACCAATGACTCCAAAAATACATGCAACTTCTAACAGAGTTCATTTGGCGCTTCCAACAGGGCGTAGATCTTTGTCAGCAGATCGTGCCAGCAGCCTTAGTGCTAAGGGCTCTAAAAAAGATACAAGACCCATATCGGACAAAGTGTATCAAACTCACATGCTTCATACAATCGATGCATATTTTTCTGACAATCAACTCTCTTGCATGCTTAATAGTAACGGTAGCATGAAACCTGTTACTTTGAAAATGTTTGTAGAAATTTCTGCTCATTTAATAAAAACTCTTGGTATAAAACAAGCTCTTACAATTTCTAATTATGTGGAGGAATTGCCAAAAATTGCAAAGAAACTTCACTATCCAGGAGTTATTGCTAAATCTTGGTTGAAAACTGCTAATGCCATGCACTCTTGGCCCAATGTTCTAGCTTGGTCTTGCTGGTTAGTAGAAATTTGTCAAGTAAGGGAAATAGCTTTCCAAAAATATAATTTAAAGAATTTACCCTTTGTGGGAGATGAAAAGGAAGCCAGTTTCCACAGATATAATCTCTTTTCGATGCTTGATTTCTATAATGCATGGAATGATGAGAAGCTTGATGAAGAAGCAGCATTGTTAGAAAAATATTTACAAGAAATTGAAGACCAACAAGGAGTCAATGAAGAGGATTTGAACAATGCACGTTTTGAGTTAGAAAAGGAAATAGATAAGCTGCAGAGAGTTGAGGAAAAAGCAAACACAATTGATGCAGAAGTAAAGCGTCTACAAGAAGTATTGGCATCTTTACAGAATGACGAAGAGAAGCAATTGAATGACATTCGTGCAAAAGAGGAGTACACAAAAACAATTGCTTTAGAAGCAGATCAATTAGAAGCTGAGAATAATACACTGTACGAGCAAATCCGTTTGCAAAACCAACATCGCGATGAATTACTTTCGATTATTAATAAGCAGTCAATGTCTAAAGCAGAAAGAGATAAAATACTGGAGAAATGTACGGAAATGCAGAATTATACGCATCAATTTGATGACCATTTACAAGATATACAAAAAGAGCTGTACACAATGGACATTAAATTAGCATCTATTAATAGCAATTTAACCAAAGCAGTTTTAACATATAATAAAGAAATTATTATGCACATTAGCGATGATATGGGTGTAGATCTGGAAGAATTGAAAATGCCAGAAAAAGATATAAATCATCCCCAAATTATGGACATATTAAATGTTAAGGCTAGTTTAATGGATGATCTGAAAGAATCAATAAAGAAACAAATTGTTGATAAAGAACGTTTCGTAAAATTAAATTCTAATGAATTAGAGACTCTCCAAGAGAAAATTAAGATTTTGGAAGATGAAAACAGTGATGTTGCTAACGATATTAAAGAAAAGAAAACTCTTATGAAGAAAATTAAAATAGATGCCAAAAATGAAGAGTCCAAATTAAAAGAACAAATCAAAATTCTGCAGAACGATATTAAAGAAATTCAAGATTCTATGCCAGACAGACAAACACTTGCAACAGAATTAGAAGAATCAACAGATAAATTGGATGCAGTACGTAGAAGAATGGCACACATAGAAGAAAATGCAAAACTTTTTTTTGATAAATTTTACGAGATTTTAGGTGAGCACAGAAACGAAGTTTCCAAAATACTAGAGAAACTGAATAAATAATACAATATACATAACAAAACAGATGAGATTTTTTTAATAAAACGAGTATTTTTTATCCGACATGCTGTATATTTAATCCTTACTCATATAGAAATAGACCGAATTATCTCTTTCGATAAATACGACATTCGATGGTATCTACCAAAACGATATTCTTTTGATGCAGATTTAAGACCCCCTTTCATTCCTGACTTCCTTTTTATTATATACGTATCTCATTATTTACATTCAAGCTTTAAACTTGATTTCATTATATGTATTCCATTTAATTGATACTTTCGTTGTAATTCGTCTTTATGCTGGCATGTTAAGGTTGTAAAGCGCATACTATATCGTTTAATAGTTCT